TGATCAATGTTACCGTTTCGCCCGTGGTAACTTTCTCGACTTTCTGGTCCAATCCATATGAGTATTACGTCTTCCACCAGTGATCTCAACTGTTACTAAACTACTACACAATAGTAGTAATGATTAAATAAATATACTAAATATACGGGGGTCAAGTTATCCACAGGGACCCAAGCTTGCAACAATTAAAAACAAAACTACAATATATAGCTCCTGGTGCCTGGGCATAAAATAATAACTCCAATCACAAAACAAAAACAAATCATATCAATAATAGCCGACCTCAACTAACCTCTTAACCCAAGGCCTTGGGAAGCAGCAGAGTTGTCAGCTGGGACCATCCAAATCACTGGGGGATGCTGTGTTTATGTTTATGTTTATTTAGATTTGTATACCGCCCTATCTCCCTTACAGGACTCAGGGCGGTGAACAGGTGATAATAAAAATCACAATAAATATCTATTCTAAAATCAAATTCAATAAATAAAGGCCTGCTCTAAAATACCCCATATAAAAACCTATACTAAAACCTAATGAAGACTACGCCAGGCCGGCCGCACGAAATAGATGGGTTTTCAGGGCTCGGCGAAAAAGGCGCAGGTCCGCAGTTGAACGTAGGTCGGGGGGTATATCATTCCAGAGGGCAGGAGCTGCCACAGAGAAGGCTCTCCCCCTGGGGGTCGCCAGCCGGCATTGTCTGGCCGACGGCACCCTAAGGAGGCCCTCTCTGTGGGAGCGGACTGGTCGAAGGGAGGTATTTGGTAGGAGGCGGTCTTGCAAATACCTAGGTCCATTGCCATGGAGCGCTTTAAAGGTTGTTACTAACACCTTGAAGCGCACCCGGAAGGCCACAGGCAGCCAGTGCAGCTCACGCAGGAGAGGTGTTGCATGGGAGCATCTAGAGGCCCCCAGCCACTGAAATGGCACAACTCCAGGGTTCAACCAGATGGCATGATAGAGGAGGCCTAAAGCATACTAGATATGGTCAGGCAAGAAGAGACAGTGGGGAAAAAGTGATCCCAAATTATCCTGTACCAGATCTTCGTAACTAGTGGTACCAAAATGAACCCAGCTAAAATACACTCTTTTGCAACATTATAAAATTGTGCAGGGGGTATAAGTTAAATATAAGATTTAAAAAAACCAAGATATTGTCCTCACTGACACAACTCTCATATTTAGGATAAGCATGATATTAACAGGCATCCAGGATAACAGAAATCCACAACTTTTATGCACTTATAACCCCATGAAATTTCTTACTGTAAGTAAAAGTTTAGGCAAGTCCTTTGCATTACCAGCGAAGGTCTATTTTA